AAAAAAAAGAAAAAAGACAACAAAACAAAACAACTGTTCCAAAATCAAGCACATTTTGTATTCCTTTAGAAAACTAGATATTGAAGGAACCCTGTGGCAAATTCTTTTGTGAGGCAAATGCTCTTTAATGTGCATGTCTGGGTAATAGGCAAGCTCCTGGTGCTTTAAAAGGCCATTAGAACCTTTCTTTTAGCATCAGCTTGGTCTGATGAGAGGCACAGTGCAATGGACTCCCCTTGAAGAGAAGCCTGGTCTCTATCCAGCCAGCAGCCCACGACTGCTACCAGCAAGGCCACCAGGCCCCCGTTACCTTCCACATGCTGGTGCCAGGCATTGCTCTGCGGACTGGCAGTCCTGTCAGGCTGGCACAGGCCATCTATTTAAGTCTACACACTGTACTGTTTGGCATCAAAATTAAATTGAGAACCAAATATAAAATGGGAGCATTAAAATCCAAGATCTTTTTTTTTCTTTTTTTTGGAGAGGTTTTTGCTATAGGGTACATGTGCTCACCAGAAAGACAGAGAGAGACAGAGAGACAGAAAGTGAGAAATCACTCCCGAAGGGGGTTGGCCATGCCACAGTCCTCCTCCTCCATTCTCCTCTGGGGATCTTGGGCACGCACACACATGCGCCCGGCGTGAGTTTAAGCCACCGGGTCTGGGACTTGAACTGCGGTTGACTACAGGGGAGTCCAGCGACATAGCCATTACGCTAACTGCTGGTCCCAAAATCCAAGATCTTTTATGTCACTTTTAAATGAAAAATTTGGGAAAGGAGCATAGCATGAGAATTGCTTGTATTTTTAAATTTATGTAAAATAACCTCATTATTTTGTGCCAATGATTACAATATACTAATAAAATTTGGAGCCCACTGTTTACTTGCATAACAGTACAGAGCACATAGTTTAATTATCCTACACTTCAATTTCCTGTGAGTACAGTTATGGATAGTACCTACCTGGTAGGGTGGTTTTGAGTGCTGAATGTACTCCATTTAAAATACGTTAACCTGGGGCCAGCAGGTAGTGAGTAAGGCACTGAACTCCCACATTGTCAACTAGCAGTTTGAGTCCCAAACTCAGCGGCTTGAAATGCGCTGGGCATGTGTGTGCATGTGCCCAAAATCCCAAGAGAAAAATGGAGAAGAAGGGATCAGAGCACCATCCCCCCGGGGGGTGATTTCTTGCTTTCTGTCTCTCTGTCACTCAGGCGAGCACCTGCAGCTTATAGTGAAAGTCTCTCAAAAGTAAATAAAGAAGTGACTCAAAGGAATAAAATATGTTAACCTGATATATAGTGTACGGTAGGTGCTTTATTAAATTCTTGGTTGTTTTTGTCCTCGTAATTATTATGAAGTCCTATCACACCCAGGCAAATACCTCTAGAAAAGATAAGTGAAGCAGAGTAAATGAATTCAGGTTTTTAACGCCCTTCCTCCTCTCTCCACCCACGCCCTCTGCAGAATGTGACAAACTGCGGCGGGATGGCTACCGAAGCTCTCAGTACTACTCTCAGGGACCCACCTTTGCAGCCAGCTCCAGCCCACTGTGTGATGACTACCAGGACGAGGATGAAGACGCTGATCAGAAGGTAAGGCTTCCAGCTCCAACGGGGGATCCTGGCTGGACCCCAGTACGGAGAAAGGATATATTGAAAAACTGGTGAAATCAAAATAAAGTTGGTATTTAAGTTAATATCTTTTTTTGAAGAATTATTTTATTTAACTTTATTTATTTTATTTTGCCCAGAGGGGGGGGAGAGAAAGAGAGAGAGAGAGAGAGAGAGAGAAAGCAAGCCACCAGGTCTGAGACTTGAACCACATCGGTCTTGTGGGAGTCCAGCGCCCTTAACCACCACACTAACTGCCAGCCCCAGTATTTTAGTTAATATATCTTGTCCCAAGTTAATTTCTTGGTTTTGACAAATATACCACAATTATGTAAGATGTCCACTTACAGGGATAGTGGGGGGAGGTACACAGGAGCTCTCAATGCTATCGTTGCAACTTTCCCATAAGTATAAAATTATGCTAAGGAAGAGGTAAGGTCAGAATCTAAGGAATTCATTAAAAGGTCATAAAATCAGTATATTTGTGCATTTCAAATACTCTCTTTCAGTTGGGAAAAATAAAGGTCTTATTTCTTTTATTAAACCCAGTTATATTAAAATAATAGCTCTAAGAATAACAGCCTCACAAGTGGCCAGTAGTTTTAATATTGATGAAATATAATACTTAATAGTACTTCATATTAGTGCTCAAGCCAATTCATTAATGATGCTGTTTTACATTTGGGTTCCTTTTCCTCACACCATCTCTTGTCAAATGCACAAACTATACAAGAGAAGTTTATTTTCCCTGTACCAAATACACATAAAACCATAAAAATGGTTTTGATTTATGTGGTTTTATTTTCATTTTACTACATAATGTGACTTGACTCTGGACTTAAATAAGATTTGATGAACAAGGTTTAGTTTAGAAATATTTTTTGAAAAAACATTTATGTTTGTATGTATATATGTATTTGTCATGATTTTCAAGCTGCCTGGTCTGGATTCAAACCATAGTCAGCTATGGGAATCCAGTGCTTTAACCACCACGCCACCTGCTGGTCCCTAGAAATAACTTTTAATTAATCTAAAAACTTTTCATAGAATTAGGTCAATACATAAATGTCCTATTGATTGGAGAACCATTTGTTCAAAATGTATTGTCCTTTTCATCAAGTAGGTAACTCCAGAGAACAAAATAAAATAACAATGAATCAAAATATGAGAAATTATTATCTTAAATTTTTTATCTTCAAATGAATATTGAACTCATCCAGTTTTTTTATTTAAAGACTCACATAAAAAAAATTATTTTTAATTGTCAGGTATGCCCTTGACAGACATGGGGTAGAGGAGAAAGCACCCTCCTATGGGGTGTGGTCATGCTACCCTCTCTTCTCCATTTCTCCATCTGGTCAGGAATTGGGACACATGTGCACCTGCACTTGGCATGTTCTTCAAGCTGCCAGGGCTGAGATTTGAACCATGGCCAGCCATGTGGGATCCAGCTCACTGAATTACTAGGCTATGAGGCCAAGCCAAAATTCACATTTCTTTAATTATTTTTAGTTAACAAATCATAATTATATACATTTATGGATTACAGTGTCTAGAATTATGTATGTATACAACATAGAATGATTAATTCAAACTAATTAACACTCGTCACTTTGTTTACCTCTGTTTATTTTATTTTTGGAGAGGTTTTTGCTATAGGGTGTGTACGCTCATCAGAAAGAGAGAAAAAGAAAGACAGAAAGTGAGAAATCACCCCTTGGGGGGATGGCCACGCCACACTCCCTTCTCCTCCATTCTCCTCTTGGGATCTTGGCACGCACGCACATGCACCTGGTGTGAATTTAAAGCACCGGGTCCAGGACTCGAACTATGGTTGACTACATGGGAGTCCAGCGACATAGCCATTACGCCAACTGCTGGTCCCATGTTTACCTATTATTTTTTATGGTAAGGCATTTGAAATGGACTCATGTTATTCTGAAATTTATAATATTATCATTGATTGTAGTCACCTTGTTATGCAATCGATCTTAAAACTTATTCCTCCTCTCTGAAATTTTATGTCCTTTGATCAGCAGCTCCCCATTTCCTCCCTCCTTATCCAGATTTTTGTTTTTTGTCCCACGATGTCCTTGGCACTCAATAATGGTACTGAGTTTCTCAGCCTCATGAAAAGTATTGTTTTCCTCCTTCAAACTTGAACATGGTCAGGATACCAGATAATAAAATATATAGAACAATAGCACATTATTATAATTTTTGTAAAACTCTGCTTCTTATCCAAAAAACTCCATATCTCTGTTGCATTACTGAGAAAAACATGTCCAGAAATGGTAATAAACAGTCCACCCAGATTTTATCACAGAGTATTTTTCCTATTTCTTTAAAGATGTTTTGGCATATTAGCTTAGTCCTTTGAGACTCTAAAATAATACAAGATTTCTTAATAATGGGAAAAGTACCCATTTAAAAGCTGATCTGATCTTTAGTTTTGAAGACTTGTATTTTTCTCTTATTGACAAGAGTAAGGAAAATGAAAACCACTAAACCATTGTATGTTTAGTGAGACTTCCACCGTCAGGGTAAACCTCACGCTCGCGCTGACGCTCACAGAAGGAAGAAGAGACAGGTGGCTTGTGAGTGGCTCATGCTTGCACGAGTTGTGAGTATCCAGAAGTCAGAGGTACCCTGGTGGCAAGTTGGCTTTATCATGACAGCATCCTAAAATATTCCAAAAACACTTTCTAAATTCTCACTTAGTTCTTTACTTACCACGGTGCTCAATTCTGAGGGCAGTTAAGCCCCCAGGGACTAGTTTCTACAGTGGTATGCCAAGACTATGAACCCTACAGCCCTCTCCCAAAAGTGCAAGAGAGAGAGTGGGCCCAGAGAATACAATGCTTCCATCATGTTGGAAATAGGTCAGTAGGCAACGATTTATTTTATTTTATTTGCCAGAGGGCACGTGTACTTGCCTGAGAGAGAGAGCAGGGGACGGCAGTGAGAAACGGCCCCCACTCCACAGGGAGTGGTCACATCTCAATCCCTTCATTTCCCTCTCCTTTCAGGATTTTAGGCATGCACACACACACCCAGTATGTTCTTCAAGCTGCTGGCCCGGGACTGGAACTGCACAGTTGGCCTGATAACCACCACGTCCGATACTGATCATCTGTAAAGGAATATACATAAATGTCATCCTTTGTATGATCTAATATGACATGATGTGTCCCGGTAAACATGAATATTTCCATAATGAGTACCTGTGCGATTTGGTAGTGCTGGCCCTTCCCAACCAAACAAGAAACCCAGGGGACCCTCCTCAGATCTCCTGGGTGTCCGCATAGTCCTTCTCACGTAAAGAGCAGGAGTCAGAGCAGGGTAGAGCCTCCTGTGTGTGTATAGAGGCGGGGTTGGTTTTCCGGCTCCTGAGACCTGTGTTATAGGTTGGAGCATAGTGTTTGTCCTCACGGCCTCTCCATACCTGAGTTCTCAAAAACAGCACTCAGATGTTTTCAATCTTGGCTTAGTTTTGTTACTTTTGTGATCTGAAAATTTCAGGTTCATACTTGTTCTTGGTCAAAAGTATTTTGAAATTCTTGGAATATATTGTTACTGATACTTGAAGGAAACCTTTTTTTTTTTTTTTTTAGAGAGAGAGATTTTTGCTGTAGGATACGTGCACTCACCAGAGAGACGGAGAGACATAAAGTAATAAATAACTCCCTGGGGGGATGGTCACACGCAATCCCTTCTCCTCCGTTCTCCGCTGATTTTGGGTACCCACATTGTGTTTCAAGCTTCCAAGTCCAGGACTTGCACCTTAACCACTATGCTACCTGCCGGCCCCTTCTTTTCTTTTTGTCTGTTTTTCTTTGCTCTACAGCATGTGCTCCTGCCAGAGACAGACAGAGAGAGAAAGTGAGATATCATCCCTTAGGAAAGATGGTGATACTACAATCCCTTATCCTTCATTCTCCTTTTGGGGATTTTGGGCAAAAAAGCTCCTGCAGTGTATTTAGGAATTAAATGCTGCAGCTCTTGGGCTTTCCTACTATGCCCTACAGGTCCCTCCTTAACTTGCAGGTGAACATCTTCAAGCCATAGTGAGGGCTTCATTTCTGTGTGCTCCTCCACCCTGCCCCAGTGTACTTAGTACACGACTGGCTGCTTAGTTGACTCATCCATTCAGTCGTCTTCTATTGAGTAATCCCTTCTGAGGTAATGTTCACCCTGAATCAGAAGTTTTTATTGATCGTTGTGACCTTTGCTACCATTCACTTGGTCATGATGATGTACTCGTGCACCCATTAGTGACACTCATCTGGGACTCAGACATGTTCCTTTTCCTTCCTCAACCTTTTTCTCAAAAAAAGAAACACATTTAAGCACAGAATTACAGTTCATTTGTAAAATGAGTATTTACTGAGGATCTCCTCTGTCAGGACTATTCTAAGTGAGTCAAACACAAGTCCCTGCCCTCGAAGGAGCTTTGATTTCCTGGGGAGGCACTAAGAATAAATAAGCATTTTGCCATATTAGAAAGTGCATTGTGGGACCAGCAGTTAGCATAATGGCTGTGTCGCTGGACCCTCGCGTAGTTGACCGTGGTTCAAGTCCTGGACTCGGTGGCTTAAAACTCACGCCGGGCATGTGTGCATGCGTGCCAAAGATCCCGAGAGGAGAATGGAGGAGAAGGGATTGTGGCGTGGCCATCCCCCCTGGGGGGTGATTTCTCGCTTTCTGTTTCTCTGTCTCTCTGTCTGTCTGGCGAGCGCATGTGCCCTATATCAAAAACCTCTCCAAAAAAAAGAAAAAAGAAAGTGCATTGTACTCTGGAGTAAAATAAATCAAAGGGGTCGTCAGTTGTAACTTTAAATGAAAAAGATTGACCTAGTCAGTCTAATGGCTTGCTCCTATAATCCCAGCTAGTTGGAAGACTGTGCCAGGAGGATTATGGATTGGAGGCTGGTTTGGGCAACATAGAAGGTCCTGCCTCCTTTTTTTAAAAAAAGAAAAAG